TTCAATTTTGTTGCTATAGGGAGACTGATTTTTTTTCTGACCAAAATCTATCATTAAAACAATCATGCTCTGTGGCTAACAGGTAAGTATAATAAAGATAGGAATATGAGCTAATTAGTTAGAGAACAATGACCTCAGCTTGCTTTTTTGCAAGCTAAAGCAGAAAAAAAAATTAGGAATATCTGAAGCTAAGTGAGAGAACATTCATATCCCTAGCGACGTAGGGGTTGAAAAAAGAATTGGAGTAGGGCTTTAAAATTAATGAGCAATGTAGTTTTAGTAATTAATAAGGAAATATCAAAACATACCCTTTGATTACCTTATAACATGGGATGAGATTGAACCAGTAATAGGTATAAAGAGGCACCTCCCACCCTATAGGGGTGGGAGAAAGTATCTACCCTAATTCTTGTTACACTAGACTATAAGGTCCTTCAAGGAAAGTATGGCATTCTGCCCTGTTTATCATTTTATGTTCTCCACTATGTTCCACGGTGCACTGAGAATAAAGGCATTTAATAAATACTTGTTCTTGGGGCAGCTAGGTGGTGCAGTGGATAGAGCACCAGCACTGGAATCAGGAGGACCTGAGTTCAAGTCCGCCCTCAGACACTTGACACTTACTAGCTATGTGACCCTGGGCAAATCACTTAACCCCATTGTCTAGCTAAAATAAAATGACTAAATAAATATTTGTTCTTGAACATTTGTTTCAGGCCTCTATGGTTGAAAGACCCCAAGGGGTGGTGAAATGAGCCCTAAACCTGCTTCTGATTGGCAGTGAAAAGACTAAATGGTTCCAGGTTACACATAATAAGCAAAGGATGGAAAAGGCAAGGTCCTAAATTCCGAGCAGAAGTAGCAAGACTGAAGTAGAATTGGGAGCACAGGATTCAAGGTCCAAGGGTATCATCACTTACTGGGGCATTTTGTCTGGTTTTGTTAGCTAAGTGTGATGGCTATCACTAAAGCTTACCAGAGCTCTGCCCTGGCTTCTCTTCTCTCTAACATTCTCTATTTTGACTTGATGACCTTAGCTCCCATAGATTCAAGTACCACCTCTACGCAGGTGAATCCCAAGTCTACCTCTCTAGCCCTCTTGCCTCTCCTGAGCTCCAGCCCTGCATCACCAACTGCTTGCTAACCACTTCCAACCAAATGTGCCATAGGGATCTCAAACTCAACATACCTAAAAGAGAACTCCTCATGTTGTTCTCCAAACCCACCTCTCTTCCTAATTCCAAATATTTATGGTTAAGAGCACTGGTGTCAAGCTCAAATAGAAATGGATCACTTCAGGACTCATATTGATTTAGAAAACTACAAATTAATATTATCTACATCTTATATTTTTATTTATTTGCTTAAACTTTTTCCAATTACATTGTAGCCTTGTCCAGGCAGCACTTGGTAATTTTAAGAGTCTGACACCTCTGAACAAAAGCGCCATCATCCTTCCAGTCACTTGGTTCACAAGCTTACAGTTATACTCAACTCTTCACTGCCACTTATTCTCCCCCTTCCTCCCATATTTCATCAAATGCCCTCTAATACCTCACTTTTCTCTCCTCTTGCACAGCCTACTTCAGGACCTCATCACCCCTAACCTGGACAATATGCCTCCTATTGGCCTCCTTGCATCCAACATCTTTCCTCTCTAACATGTCTTCCACCCAGTTGCCAGATTGATTTTCCTAAAACACAGATCTGACTATGTAATTTCCCTGGTTCAAAAAGCTTCACTGGTTCCTTATTGCTTCTAGAATAAATTTCAAATTCCTGCTTGGCATTTGAAGCCCTTCACAGTCTGATTCCAAACTGTCATTCCAGGATCATAACACATTCCTCTTCACACACTCTTTTCTGGCCAAACTGATTTACCTGCTGTTATTGGCACACTACATTCCAGCTCCTACCTTGGTGTCTTTGTATAGGCTTTCCCCCAGATCTGGACTCCGTCCTCATTTTTTCCTCTTAAAATCCCCCGCTAACTTCATGATTCAGCTTATGAGCCACCCCATACAAAGAGCCTTTTCTGATCGCCCTATTTGTGAATGTCCTCTCCTTCCTGAAATAAGCATATACATACTTAGTTGTTTACATGTTATCCATTCACACACACACACACACACACACACACACACAAATATACATCCCAGGAGAACGTAAACTCCCTGATGATAGGGTCTGCTTTTCATTTTGACTTTCTATCCCCAGCATCAGTGCCTTACACAAGGTAGATGTTCAAGAAATGCTTAATTAATAGGCGGTTGTTGGATCACATTGGATTCGAATCTATCAGATAATCTGCAAGGATGAACACCATCACTCCTTCCCTAGAAATGGTGTTCCATGCCACCTGCCTTTCTTACCCACCCCTTGACCCTTGGCATCTAAGCACATCTTTTCTGACTCTTCTCCCAGGTTTAAAATTCCTGATTAGGACACTCTCCTCCCTCAGTCCCTCCTGCCTATTTAAATGCTACCAGTAGCTCAAGATCAAGTTCAGGTCATACTTCTTTCTGAAGCTTTCCCCAACTACCCCAGCCCTCCATGAGTTCTCTCTTATCTGATTTCCCAGAGAACTTGCTGTCTGCACTCATTCTGGCAATTTTATACCATCTTCCCGATGGCTGTACTGTTGGACATCCATTGTACTGTCTCCCCAACCAGAGCTTGCCTTAAGGGCAAGGACTACGTGCTATATTTCTGTTTCTCCTGTCTCCACCAACTTCTAGTTCAAACTAATCACAACGGTAGGTGCTCGATTAAACAAGCACCGATCAGGTTTCCCAGAATACTAATTTTCCGAGCTTCCTAAGAAGCATGGGGCCCAATCACTGTCATTTGTGTTTTTCTATTCTGTAAGTTCACTCCAAAGCAGCTCAGCCATGAGTGAACAGCAGCTGCCACTGAGCCAGCAATTTCAAACTGCAAATTGGGCCGTGATTCTCTCCTCAGTGATTATGGCGATGATCTTGGATGTCATTCTCAACAAAACTGAAGCCATGCGGGGGCCAATTGTAATTTCTGTCGTTTATTAAACTTCAAGTCAGCAGGAAACAGCCGCCTCAGCTGCAGGTTATTCCCAAATTGATCCTTCGGAGGCTATCAGGGCCACTTTCATCTACAAAGTGGTACCCCACCCGCAGCCCCCAATTCCATCACTTCCCTTTTCCTGTATAAATGGATAAAGGACGAGAGGAGCTGCTGGTCCTAACAGAATGGCTTAGACTGCACACAAAGCATCCATCTGCCCTGTGGGTCAGAGCATAAGCTCACATTGTGTTACACACTTGCAGTAGGTGTGCTAGCTTTTTGCTTGGTTCACACATTCCACTGGCTTTCTTAACCTTACTTCCACGTGCATGCAGAGAGACTTCATTAGGGTACTCTGCTTGTAGCCTAAGATTGTGCTATAATGGCCTAATTTGAAATAGCCTGCCCAAAGCCTCCAGCTCTCTCTCCCTCACTTGTCATTCTGACCATTGCCAGCCCCTTGAGTCTCTTAGACTTCACTCGAGCAATTAATCAATAAGCATGTATTTAGCGTCTCCTAAGTGGGAAGAGAAGGAACAAGCATTTCTAGCGTGTCTACTACATCCTAGGCACTATGCTAAGTGCTTTTTACAAATACTGTCTCATTTGATCTTCACAACAACCTTCTAAGGTAGGTGCTATTATTATCTCCAATTTATAGTTAGGAAAACTGAGGCTAAGCGACTTGCCCAAGATCACACAGCTAGTAAATATCTGAGATTGGATTTCAACCAGGGCTTCCTGACTCCAGGCCCAGAATTCTATCTCCTGTGCCACCAGCTACCTTTATTTGTTAGTGAGCACTAGTGATAGACAAAAATAAAACCACCCTTGTCCTCAAGGAGCTTATATTCTAATATGGAAGAAAACATCCATGTAGGACCTCAAAGCTGTCCAGTGGCAGGTTGGTATAGTGGGAGGAACATAGGACTAGGAGTTTGGAGACCTGGGTTTAGGTCCTGGCCCCCTCACTGTGTGTGACCTTGGGAAAGTCACTTCAGTCAGGTAAGAAGCACTTGCTAAATGCCTACTATGTGGAAGACTCTAAATTAGATGCTGAGGAGACATACATAGAACCACAACACTATCTGGGATTGCAACAAAAAAATAAAAGAGCTTCGCTTTTCTAGGGCTCAATTTCTTTGCCTATAAAATGAAGAAATGAGCAAGATGAGCTAGATCAGAAGTTAACCTTTTTTAAGATACAGACTTCTTAGGCATTCTGGTAAAATCTAGGGACTCCTCACATTAATGTTTTAAATAATTGGAGGAAATTCTGAATTTTAGGCAACTATAACTAACTATATAGTTACTATATAGATGTATTAGTGTGTGTATATTATATATATATATATATATGTATATATGCATGCATGTATTAGAAACTATAGCAACTATAAAGATGTATTTTCCCCATCCAAGTTTACAGAGCCCCTGGAATCTATTCATGGTCACCTTGGGGGGGGGGTGTCTGCATGGTCCCTAAAATCCCTTCCAGCTCTGACATTCTGTGACCCCAGTGATCAGATGATTCTTTAGTAAACATGAGTGGAAAAGAGAGAAAAAAATGATCCTGAGGGTGGGGATTGGGGTAGGAGGCAAGAAAAGGGCAAAGATGGTGGTCTTGGATCTTGAATCTTGTGTTTTAAAACAATAGCTCAATCTTGCTACTTCTGTTCGGAATTCAATTTAGTTTAATTTTCGTTGCTTCTTACTTATAACCTAGAACCACTTCTTTCCTTAAACCTCTTTTCTTATAAACCTTTGCGCATTAATATATAAACCATTTTGCAAACCTTAAAACCTTAAATTTTAAACCTTAAAACCTTAAATGTTAGGTAAGTTTAAATCAACATCAAGGTTCCTAGCTATACTATTTATTTGTTGTGTCATCAGAAATAAAACAAAGACAAATGATTGTTTATAAGATCATCTTTGAGAAAGGTCACAGCCAAAGTTACCTTTAATTACCACTACAACTGCTGACTTCTCTTCAGTTCTGGAAACACATTCTCACAATTCACTTCTCTCAGGATATCAATTAAGTCTCTTCTCAAGTATTCTCTTCATTTAGCTTCACAAGATAAATACAATTAAGGACAATTAGAATATATATGTGTGTATATATATGTGTATTTAAATATAAATTAGAACATGATTAATGCATAGGAGAAGTAGAAAGGGCTAGGAAATCAGAGAAGGGAGCTGTTATTCCAGTTGGAGGAATAGAGAAGGCTTTATAGAGGAGCTAGATCTTGAAAACTGGGAATACTATAAACAGGTAAAAATGGTAGGAGTGGGGACAGCTAGGTGGCTCAGCATATAGAGCACCAGCCCTGGATTCAGGAGGGCCTGAGTTCAAATCTGGCCTCAGACACATAACACGTATTGGCTGTGTGACCTTGGGCAAGTCACTTAACCCCATTGCCTAGTCAAAACAAAAAAAAAAATTGGTAGGGGTGTAGTAGGGGAAATTAATATTAGAGGGTCATGGTATTTAGAGCTTGATAGGATCTTAGTGGTTATCTGAACCAATCCCCTAATTTCACAGAAGAAGAAAGAAAGTGAAACTGAGGGACTAAAAATTAAATAATAATAAATGACATTTATATAGTACTCTGAGTTTTGCATAGTTTTTTTATTTTATTTATACTATCTCATTTGATTCTCATACCAACTCTAGGAAGTAAGTGAAATTGGTATTATAATAACCCTATTTTAGAGGTAAGGAAATAAAGCTTCAAAAAGTTAAGAGACTTACTTGCCCATGGTCACATTGTTATAGCCTCATTTTAGAGATAGGGAGATTAAGTCTCAAAAGGTTGTGCCTATCATCACACAATTATTAAGTGTTTAGAGGAAGAATATGAATCTGGAACTCTTCTCTGTTCAAGTCTGGTGTTCTGTCTACCCTGATGCCTCCCATCCCAAGTACAAGAAATGGAACCAGCCAAGTGTCGCGCATAAAAAGTTTGAGATAGATAATTTCTGGACAATTAATAATTTTATTAATCATGCTAGTAGATAATTAATAAAAATAGTCAGTGGCACTCTCTCCAATGCCAAAGACCCCTCATGGGACCCACTCAACACTTACATGCTTTTAGAAGAGTGGATGTTCCTAAGAGTGACAATCAACTTTGATTGATTAATAACTACTGAGAAAATTAATATTACAATTAGAGGTGGACCCATTCTAATGAGGGACTAAGGGAGTGACTTTGATAAGTCTCATTCCCAGACCACCCCCAGCTTCCAGCAATCTAGACAAAGGATCTATCCCAACCCAAGCCTGAGCAGAACACAATGGGCTTTTCCATTTGGGTGGAGTCTGAACAAGATTGGGGAGAAAGTTAATCCAATTTCATCATAAGCAATGTCCTTCAGATTCTAGTTTGGCCTGGAAGAGAATGAGGATCTAAGAAAGGAAAAAACTGCATCTCCTCAATAACTGGTTATTTAATAATCATTTCTCTCACAAGGCACTGTGCAATTGCTAAGATCATTGCTGATTTAGTGCCTGTTCAGATGAAGATATGTTTTGTACTTTTCAAAGTTCATAAACAACACTCCCTAATATAGAATTACGTTGTTATGTACCAAGCCCTGTGCTAAGGGTAGGGGATATAAATAGAAAAGCAATAGAGCTCCTAATCTCAAGGAGCTCACATCTAATGTGAACTAATGGGGAGAGACAACACATATGGAAGGCTTCAGTTGCCAGTCAGATGGAAAATCTTGTGGTCCTTAGGGTAAAACTGCCAAATAGATATTAAAGCTTCTTCTTTAATGTAATTTCCACTGATAGAGAGAACATAAAGAGACATCCAAATTAAATTAACATATACTTTAAGAGTAAGTGATTTTAATGCCAAAGTGGTCATAGGGGAGAATGGAGAAAAATATATTAGAAAATACATCTGAGGTGTAAAAAATGAAAGAAGTCAAAGGCTTGTAGACTACATGGAAATCTCTCACCAACATAGGAAGATTTTCTTCAAGAAACTCAAGAAGCTCTGGACACAGTGAACATAGGGTAGCATCACCAAAAAATGAAACTCATTCTATCTTACTAAACAAGGAATAATAACAACTCCCATTTACACAGTGCTTTAAGGTTTGCAAAGTATTTGGAAAATACTACATCATCTGATTGTCACTACACAGTAAGGTAAGTGCTCTTAAGCCTCATTTTACAAATTAGGAAAGTGAGGCTGAGAGAGGTTGTAACTTGCTCCAAATCACACAGCTAGCAAATATCTGAGGAAAAATTCTAACCCAGATTTTCCTAACTTCCTCCATACTCTCTCTACTGTGCCACAATTGACTTGCAAGTCATGGCATCATCTTTCTGACTTGATGGTCCTCTTCGAGAACAAAGGACACACATAACAACTTTGCCAATGTAGCACTTGTTGCTAAATTCGTAAAGCATTCTACGTACAATTAAACCAACAATTTGTTAGATCTCAGATGAAAATCAGCAATGAATTATGAGAACAAAAATAAGACACTTGAAAACAAGTCCAACCTGACCTATTTAAAGAAGTCATTACAATGAAATAGGTAGCTACGTGGCACAGAAAATTGAATGCTAGGCCTGGAGTCTGGAAGACCTAAGTTTGAATCCGGCCTTAGACATTTACTAGTTGTGTGACCCTGGGCAAGTCACTTAACTTTGTTTGGCTCAGTTTCCTCATCTGCAAAATGAGTTGGAAAAAGAAGTGACAAACCATTTCAGGATCTTTGTCAAGAAATTCCCAAAACAATGAAGAACAGCATTGATGACAGAAAACAGAAAGTGGATGACCACATAGCTGAGTGACTCCTCGTTACTTCTGAGGTTCAGTGTGGGTGCTCTTTAGGGTCAGCATCTATTTAGACGCTGCTCTGACCACTGCTCTGAACACTCACCCAATAACTTTTTATCAACTCAAACAAAATTATTCACCAAATCAGAGAAAAAGACATTGAATTAAAACAAAATGTAAAGTTTTTAAGAAAATGAATCAGGTCATAAACATTCTGAAGTTAATACCTATGTTTCCCCAACACAGTGGGAAAGAGACACATCAATTCAAAAGCGTGACAGAAGTGTGAGGCATGAGTATCCAAAACAACCTCTCTAATCACTTCCCTTTCCACTTTGAGACCCACTTCTCTACAGTAGTAACCTAAAGAGCATTGGCTTTTATTGACATGGCTGCCTAGAGGTTATTGGCTTCTAAGTGTGGCAATCAGATGATTATCTCTTGCTGTCATCAGCATAGTCCAGATGCAGCTGCCATTTCTTTCCCTTTCTCCATTCCCGTTGGCTACACCTTTCCTTGCTGTCCATTACAACCCATGTATTGTTATCCTCTACTCCCAAGAATTTCATAAGCTCTTTTAAGCTATCTGAACTTGAAATGCCTTTATGTAATCAAAGTATGTAGGGGATGACATTACCATGCTGCAGAGCTCATCACAAACTTCTAAGAGATGTAGTGCAGAAAATTTTGCTCAGTGAATAGGCTTTCTCTTGGCTCCAAGTATGGTAGTAATATGAAATATGCACACAGATATATTCCTCTATAGATAAAAAAGCAAACATAAACAAACTGTCACCAGCTTATCATTTCCTATTAAATTTTCTGAGGAATTAAAATTGTAGGTAACTCAAAAGGACATATAGAGAAACATCTGTTGGTCTGACTAGATTGTATCCTATTACCAATGATGAATTACATAAGAGAAGTAGTATGAAAAATATAATTAAGGAAATGTATGACTAGAAAAGGAATTCATGCAGTAAGATAAGAGATAGCTCCTAGACAGTCTGTGTGTTCTATCACTATCCATACAATAGCAAGAACTCTAGAACAAAGTCCCCAGCACATTGGATGTGTCTCCTTTGGAGGACTGATTAATGGGAGAATATAAAAAAGTTACCCAGGAGATGACTGATTCATTCAATACTGAAATAAATGGTTGATTTTTGTGCTTTCTACTTCCTACTGAGTAAAGCTCAAAATCTTCTTCTTGACATTCAAGGCTCTCCTCAAACTAAAACCACCCTACTTTTCCAGATTCATCGTATGTTACAACCTTCAATATAGTCTTTGCTACAAATAAATTGGTCTGCTCCCTTCTCTTTTATACTCTATGCTCTTGTGCTTCCCTTGCTTTGATCTCATCATTCCTTCACCTATTGATTTTGTCTATCCTTTAGACTCCAATTCAAATACCACCTCTTCCATCAAGCTCTATCTGATCTTCTAGTACTCTATCAAAGAAAAGTGTCAAAGATCTTCTAGTACTTTATCAAAATTTTAATTCCTCAGAAAATTCAGTAGGAAATGATAAGCTGGTGATAGTCTAGTCTGTTTATGTTTGTTTTTTCATCTAAAGAGCAGATTCTAGCAGAATCCTCTGCACCAAGCAGACACTTTGGTATCTCAGAGACCAATTGAAGCATGTATATGTAGAAACACAAAGGAGTTTTAATGAACATTACAACAATGTAAAAGTTTGGTAAGTAGAAGAATAAGGAAAAGACAAAGGAATTAGTGATATTTACCTTGAAGAAGAAAGATAATGAAGATATTTGATAACAATCTTCAAGAGTATTAAAAGTTTACTATCCAAAAAAAGTAAAATATCAGCACTCTTATCTCTAGAAGAAAAAAAAAGACTGTGGGGGAATGGCTTGAATAACAGCAACTAAAAATGAAAAAGTATTGAAATATTGATATATTCCTGTCCTCCTCTCCAATAATTTGGTAAGCTCATATCACCATAGATATTTTCATAAAATTTTCTTAGTTTTCAATTTGGTGACTAGTAAATTTTCCTAGTTCCAGATTATACCTAGCTTTTGGGTCCCAGGAAAAGGTCCATAATTCCATGAAGCCAAAAGCTGCACACTAGCCTTTGAAGGGCAACATAGATATAAATTAAGCCATCAAATGAGACCAATGCCATTAAGCTTGGACTGCCATACTCCCTGTTTCTACTTCCTTGCTCGCAACTCCAACACTCATTACAACCTGAATT